CATAATTCCTAGAAAATCTATTTCTTCTTCTTTTTTTTTTTTTTTTTTTGAGACAAGGTTTCTCTGTAGCTCTGGAGCCTGTCCCAGAACTAGCTCTTGTAGACCAGGCTGACCTCAAACTCACAGAGATTGGTCTGCCTCTGCCTCCTGAGTGCTGGGATTAAAGGCTTGGGCCACCAGTGCCCAGCTCATCTAAAAAATTTTAAAGACAAAGATAAGGATTTTTACATTTTCAAACCTTCTCAGAAGATCTGAGTGTTTCTAAGTAACTATGTTTTGCTACCTAATAGCTAATAAATAAGCAAACAAAAACCCTGAAAAATCAGTACTACTGAAATACACTGACTATATGAAAACATATAGCACATATATGTCTATGTGATGTTTATGTAATTTACACACAAAGAGTATGTGCATGCACACAGAGGAGGTGATAACCATTGCTATGTAATCAGTTTGAAAAATGTTTATTCAACAGGTGGTTTTTCCCTGTTTTAGGCACTAAGGAACCAATGACACAAGTGTAGCTTGCGTCTTGACAGAATTCAATGAGAGATGCACACTGGGAGATTTCTAAGTCTAGTGAAACTTTCCAGAGCTAGAAAGGGGTTACTAGGCAGAATAGGAATACTCCAAGGAGGGAGAAAGATGTGTGGACACTTTGTGACAGTCTAGAAAATTCCTAATACTGAAAATGAGGAAAGGAGGGAGAAATCAGATGAAGAAGGGGGAAAGGTGGAACACACATGTGTTTCACAGGAATAGGAGTTTGAGAAGCAGCAGCTATGGCCCAATCATGAAAGAAGGAGGGATAGTGTTAAGTGGTGGATGCTTCTCCTGAGCATTTCTCTAAACATGTGTGAGCAGGAGTAATGGCATGGGAGTACATGATAGCTAGGAGCCAGATTATACAGGAACACTGCCCAAATTCAAGTTTCAGCTCTAGAATCATTGTGTTGCCATACACAAACTACTTCAACCTCTAGTGCCTGTTTTCCACCTGGAAAATGGGGCTGGTAGAACCTGTTTCCTAATACTATTAGGAAGGCCAAATTAACAGATCAAAAGTTCTTAAGACGGTGCCTAGCAGATAGTACCAGCTCACTACACTAATACTGATAGACTTGCACTGCTGGGAGAGAGATATAGAGTAAACACAGAAAACATGGTAGGTTATGCCTGGAGTGCTAATCATAGTTTCCTCCATTTGATGATACATTTCATGCAGCTTTTATATTAATAGTTTGCATAATTAATAAGAAAAAATATATCAAAGCATGCTTTTTGATGAAAATAAGAAAAAAATATTCATTTTCCTATATGGTACCATCTAAACATAAAAGAATATGAGACAGGGACTGAAATCCTTTCTTAGCCAGGATTCTTCCTTATCAAGACTGATTACAGAGATGAGCTTCACTTACTGAAGGGTTAAGCTGAGGTGTTTAATGCTTCAACTATAACCAAAAGGCACTGCTCAGACAAGAATAAGATCTTTTAATGTCCTTTCCCATACAGGAGTGACATGGTAGACATCTACCTACAGCTGAATCCTGAATCAGCTGCAGCAATAGAAAAAAAAAATAAGGAAAGATGAACAAACAAAAAGATTACTCAACATGAAAAACATAAGCTAGGTATTTTTACTAAAACTAAACCTACAGGGCATGACAAAAGAGAGTCGATGAATGGGATCCTTTATGAACAACATAAAATTGCAATCACAAAGACTTAATTTTTCATATCACTTTGCTTGCTGTAAGCAAGCAAGAGCACCATCTTTCAAAAGAGCAACATGGTTTTGAATGTTATAAAACAGTTCTTTGCTGTAGAGGATTCATTCCTTTGAAAATTTACTAGGGCAGGAAAGCAATTAATAGGTCCATTGGTCCATATAATACTTTTCTACTTGAGAATGCAATGTCCACCAAAGGAAAAGTTCTTAAAGGCAGATCAAGCACTGGTTCCACATTTGGAAAGGAGGGATAGCATGTCTTCCTCACAACAAACTCCACACAGTTCTAAGGTGCCAGACAGCACGAATTAATTCAATGGATAAATCTCCCCTGTTATCCTCTAGCCAAAAACCATCTCAACTTGTCAAATACATTCACCTCCCGAATCATCCTAAGACAGGAGTCACTGGACACATGAACATTTAAAACAGTAAAAAGTAAGCACTTTTAAGGATTCTGTTTCCAAGTAGTGGTTTCCAAGTGTAGAGTAGCTATACATGGCTACCGGCTCATGAATACCAGACATTGACATAAATAAACACTTCCTTTAATGCAAAAGGCCTACCAGAGAGTGCTTAACTATATGTAATCGTGTCACTTTGCCAACTCAGGCCACTTACTACAAAATGGCACCTGATCTCTGAGAAAGCAACTGTGAAGGCAGACTCATCCCCTGCCTTGTTCCCACTCCTTGTACATTAGTGACTCCTCACAGCACAGTGAAGAATCATGGCGTACAAACCACAAGACAGTCTCTGTGTTTGGTCTCATTAATCCTCACTATGATCTGAAGAAATAGAAAAGCAGCAGGCAGCACCCATGTTTTATAGGTGAGGACACCAAAGCACAAAAATTAACCTGCCTGCAGCTATAAAGTCAATAATAGAGTCACAAATAAAAGCTGGATTTCCTAACACCATGACCAGTGCTCCATTCATTTAAGTAGTCACGGCTGATTTAAGAACCCTAGGATGGAAACTACTCGGTTTCACCTGACCCAAGCAGCCATTTGCCTCATCAAATGGCTTACTACACCTACAGGAGGATCATAGCTATAAAGTCTTCACGTAATTATATATTACCTCTATGAGATTCTTAAGAAAGACAGAAAAACAAAACCATGCATGCACACACACATTTCTCCCAGAATTTGACCCAGATGCCTTAAAACTTGTAATAGGAAGTAAAGAAGGGCTGACACACTGAAGCTAGAAGCACCAGGGTATGTTATTTTCTTCATTAGTAACTTGTTTTTCAGTTGTGCTAAGTGGCTACCTACTAAAGATTACAAGTCAGAGAATCTGCATGTTGTGGTTCTTACATACTTTTCTATACTAAGGGTGAGGCTTCTGTTGAGCTCTTCTGAAGCACACAAAAGCAGTGAGAGCGCAGAGGAACAATTCTTGCATTTTCATTTCAACCAACTCATTAACTGAAGAGTAAAGTAACATATAGGGAGACAGGAGCCAAGTTACAGATTAAAGATATAAAAATCTGCATACGGCATTTGCTTGCAATACTCTTGACAATAGCAGTTTTAAGATGCAGCTGCCAGCATTCGCTAATGCTCCTCTGTGCCCTGACACTGCAAAACAATTTGCTCAGAACCTCATTTGAATAATGTGAAAAATCTGGGCGATAATTCAACTGCACTTGCCCATATCTGAATTCTTATAAATGTTAACTTTTGTTGAACTAATAAGCAGAAAGGGCTAACAGAATATTTAAAAGGAGTCTAAAATATTAAGTACCACAAAAAAATTAATTATCTAATTTTTATTAAGCATAAAAAATTAAATATCTAAATTTTATTAAGTATGATTCATTCTACAGCATAGAAATCACTAAGGGAATTTGTCTACAAAACCAAGGTTTCTAAACTGATTTGATAGTGCTACTGAAGAGAAGAAATCTGCTTCAGATGCATGAGTTTTGAAGAAGAGAGAATGAGTGTTGAGTCTAATATGCATGCTGATTCTCACATCTAACTTTAGCTGTGGAAGACAAGAGACCAAAATACCAACGGGTAGTTATGGCTTCAGTACATACCTTCATTTAGGAACATAAACCCATTTAGAAGATTGTAGGCAACTACTTACACAGCATTCCTGGAGGCACCATAGGACAATAACACCTTGACTATATCTATGTGCCCATTCTTGGCCGCATCGTGGAGTGGTGTGTCATTTTGATAGCCTGTGGTGTTCACCAAAGCATTATGCTGGAGCAGCAATTCCACTATCTTCAGGTGCCCATGGCTGCAGGCTTCATGCTAATCAAAAATATGTTTTAAAGGAGGAAGTGTGAAAAGAAAATTAATACATACATTTTAGAAAAATTAATGAGAACATCAAGTCAGTAAACTTATTCTCATATAACTACTATCAAACCTTAAGCTGTTGACCATCAAAACCACTAATTGTAATTTTCATGGTAAAATACACAGTGATAAAAATCTATGTACTCCATGAGAAAATCAAGCTTTGTTTGGATCACATGCTCCTTTCTACAAAATGTACTTTTAAGCAACTAGAGCTGCTAAATTTTTCTACAATAATTTTACAACATTGGGAAAAATTCTTAAAAGTGTAACAACCAGATCATATAGAGATCTGGAATTCTCCATGGCTGAGGAGAATTCAGTGCTTCGATCCATAAACCAAACTGTACACCAACATTTACACAAACCCATCCAGCAAAGTGGCATCTAGGACGATTTAAAAGGCAAGTTCTCTTTGCTGATGGACATTACTGGGCATGTGTGGCTTTCAAATGTGCTTTTAAACAGACAAAAATGATGGAACTAGTAACAAAGGAAGGAGCAAGAGAGTTAAGCAAGACTGTGGCAGCTAACCTTCCTAAACAATTTTGGCCAGTCTATGGAACACAACAAACTGAATCCAGATTAAGCCCTCTTGGCTTAGGAATTTGCCAAGAAGTCATTTTATATATACTATATATTAACACATATAAATATTACACATTTATATATTCTATCTTCAAGCTATTTTTTGTATCTGGCCTAATGAGTCTCATTTCTGTGCTGAAATTCTAGTCTACAAGAAAAAGGTACCCACCTCCCTTGTGGAGGCTTTGGGTTGCATTCTAAGCCAACACTTAGTGTCTTCGTTAATGCCGAAATTGGTTGCAAGTATGTTTTCCATTCTCTTTTTCACATTGCAATTGATGATAACAATAATGAACAGACTTTTTAAATGTTTATGACAAGGCTTTCTACTGCTACTGCCTCATTTTGCAAGTGGACAAAGTATGAGGCAAGATTTAAATACTCCCTGGTCATCACATTCCATCCTTTCAACTACTCTGTTTCATGAAGCCAAACTCTATCTGGTTCCAGAGCCGTGCAGTGGCTGCGCAATACAGCCTGGTGACCACTGTAGCAGTTACCGCCACACATGACATAAGCTGACTCTCAACAATACAGTGAAACTGAACTCCTATATCTAAAAGTGCTCAAAAGGTAGCCAATTACTTTCCTGTCACAACTGAAACAGCTAGATGAAAAATAACTTTCTTTTCATACTTGGTCAAAACATAAATTCTTCAGACTAAAGAGTGTAGGTGGCAGAACATGATATATGAACAACCACAAAGCCATAAACTAGAATCATAAGCATAAAAAAATGAAAAAAAAAACAGAGATCCACAACACTACAAAGATACACAAAAGAAAACTACCAATGGTGTCCATCCAGCATGGTCTTTAACATTTGGGTCATTTCCATTTTGCAAGAGGTATTCAACAGAAGGTATATCACCCTGGTGGAATAACGAAAAAATGAAAGGACATTAAAATATATCATGAATGAAATGTGGCTACTGAGGCTTTGTTTTAAAGATTCTGTATTCTTCCAGTCAGACAAATCTTTCCCTTACACCCTGGCTGCTACTTATTAGCCAAGAAATATTATCTGCCTTTCTTCTGTACTTGGATATTACTAGCAATCCATATTGAAAACTCAGTTCAAGATACAAAATGAAGACCTCTAGTCAGAGACTATCCTAAAATTCAAGTCTTCATTTCATTTGCAAAAACATCATTTTGAACATACATGAAAATCATTTTTGGGCATTAAAATAAACAAAGTTGTTTACAGTCATCAAGCTAGTCAATGAAACCAACTGTTGAAACTGCCAAAAGTACCACTTTATTGCCAATTATTCTATTTACCCTGAGTTGCTAATTTAGTTTACAGTCACTTTATTTGCACCAAAGGAATCGTCATGGCAGAAACAGTTGCTATGTTTAAAATCAAAACAGGGTTGAGAAACAGTCATACAACACACAAAATTAGCATTTAATTTCCATCCACTTCTTTGAAACTAAAACCATTACTTATTATCAATTAACTGAACGGTAGGAAATGCTGCTTCCATCAAATTCATACTGCTCCATAAATAGCTTTCTCACTAGCTTTCTCGTCCTCCTAGATCAGCAATCTTGAGATCCATATAGTAACTTTTCAACAGTGGCTCACTAACACAGGGAGCGCACAAGGTAGAGAGGAAAAGTAAGAACAGCAGACACATTACAGCATCAGAGCCTGGTGTCAAAGGAGAACAAGATGTTAGAAAAAGAATTAAGATAAAGTAAAGGACCAGCAGACAATATTCCTTCTCCTTTCAAGTTGTTAAGATATTTGCAATAACTAAATGACAAGAAAATTAAGTCTCCTTCCAATTCTGAGCTTTCTGTGACTGGTGTATCACGATACAACTAAATTCTAATATGGGTGAGTGGATTGAAGGAAGATGCAAAATGGTTTGGTCAATAAGATTCCCTCTGTTGCTAGCCAGTAATGGAAGAAAGCCTTGCAAAGGAGATAAAGCTGAGAATTAGACTTGCACACTCTCTCTAAGCATGCCCTCCACCACGTTCTAACACCCAACCCTTCTTTATATTCCTTTCCCCAGAAACACAATCTCCAAACTACATACCACTGCAGTCTCATTATCACATGCATTCCTTATTCCATGTGGATGCAAAAATCTGCCATCCATATGCCATACTTGATTACCTATTTAATCAAAGTATTGCTCGACCCTCAAAGCTTTTTTAAAAATCTCTTAACTATAAAAAAATATCACACACTCTTAAAACCAATGTAAAGCTTTAGGAAAAAGAATAACATCTATACAGTGGGATAAAGTTTGTAAAACTCTCTATCAGTCATGGTAAACAAAAACCAAACCAACTCTTTTAGGGTAACATATGGGGGGGGGGGGGCCTTGAGTTCATGGCAGAAAGAAAGGCAAAATAAGAGTCAGCCTACTTGAAAATGCTGGGTAAATAAAATTTACATGCAAGTAAAACTATAAACATGTTGTATTCGATTCCTTCTTTAAGAAAGATAGCAATCTCCCAAACCCAGGCCCAGAACACTTTTTGTTTACTTTTTAACTCAAACATGAAACCATTCAGAATATTCTAGCTTTCTAAAATGTAAATATACAGCACCATTATTATATGCATCCTACTGTACATACCAGAATCTCTCATTCCTATCCAATTGCAACTCAGATCATTTACTTTTCTGAAACAAATCTGTACCTCTACTGGGTTAAGAATACAGAAGTTATTTAAGTTTCCTAACAACCCACCCACCCCTGCGCCCACTAGAGCATTTGTCTTGGCTTTATGATTTTTCTACTTAAAATAATTTTGTTGTTGTTGTTGTTGTGACTGGGTCTATGACATAGAGCCTATTTAGTCCTGACTGCCCTGGAACTCACCAAGTTCACTCAGAGATCTGCCTGCCTCTGCCTCCCCAGTGGTGGTATTAAAAGTTTGCATCAACACTTCTGGCCCTAAAATTTTATGTTTTACAATCTTTTCTTGAGGCATGGACCTATGTAATCCAGGCCAGCCAAGGATAATTTTGAACTTCTGATCCTCCTCTCCTGCATACATACAGAGTGTGGTACACAGCAACTAAAGTCACCACACCTAGCTTTCTGCACTGCTGGGAATCTAAGTCCTGCATACGAGACAAGCATTTGACCAACTGATCTACATCTTCAGCCCCTAAAGTCTACTTTTCTCTTTTCATAATATGGGGCTACTTCTCAAATGCAGAACATCTTTAGATGGTAGTTTAAAGTCTTTTTTAAAATCCATTTGTAAAATATATTAAAATGTTCTAAATTAACCAAATAACTAAATTCTAATAGCCTAAAAGAAAGTATTAAATACATTTCAACTGATTGAAATATTGACTATTCTGGGAATGGTTATACTACCAAAAATGATCCATAGACTCAATGAAATCCCCACCAAGATTTCAATGCAATCTTCATTGAAATAAAAAAAGAAATAAAAGTGAAAGAGGGGCTAGAGAAATTCATTTGTTAAGTGTGCCTATTGCTCTTGCAAAGAACATAAATTTGGTTCTCAACACTCATATTAGGAAGTTCACAACTGACTACAGCTCCAGCTCCAGGTAATCCTATGTCCTCTCTTCTGGCCTCTTCAGGAACCTGCACTCATATGCACCCACCCACACACACACACATGCATACACATATACATAAAAACATGCACACACACACACACACATACACATATGTACACAAACAAATCTTGCTTTAAAAATAATAGAAAAAAAATCCTAAAATTTATTCGGTACCAGCAAAGACTCTACAGAGCTAAACCAATCCTAAGCAAAAAGAATAATGCTGGAGGTACAGAACCACAGCAAGCAAACAAACAAACACAGTTTAGTGTTTGTAAGTGTTAACCAATAACTGAAGCATGGTACTAGCACCCAAAAATCTCTCTTCCCTCCCTCCCTCCCTCCCTCCCTCCCTTCCTCCCTCTCTCTCTCTCTCTCTCTCACACACACACACACACAAAGAGACAAAGAGCATAGTGCTGACACAAAAACAGATCAAAAGGATAAGAACCCAGCACACAGTTGCAGACATCTAGACTATGTTAAAGACACCAAAATATACACAAATGATAATGATTAGAATGAAATTGAGTGGTGCTTGGAAAAATCTATGTCCACATATCAGAGAACTAAACTAAATTTCCTAAATCTCACCCTGTACAAAATTCAATTGAAAATAGATCAAAGCATCTTAGAGGAAAAAACTAGGAAAACACATCACAAAACAGGAACAGCTAAGAAGTTCCTAAAAAAGATTAGTCTGTCAAAAAATGCCAGGGACTGACAAATGGAACTGAAGAGAAACTAAAAAGCTTCTGCAAAGAATCAAATGAAGACACACCTCACAGAAGGGAAAAAAAAATCTTTGCTAATGTATGACAGAGGATTAATATCTACAACATATAAAGAACTCAAAAAAAATACAAAGAATCAAATAACCTGGAGCTAGAGAGATAAATGGCTCAGCAATTAAGAGTACTGGCTCATCTTCCAAAAGACCCAGGTTCAATTCCCAGCACCCACATGGTGGCTCACAGTCATCTGTAACTCCAGTTCTGAGAGATTCAACACCCTCTTCTGGCCTGTGCAAACAGATATTTATATAGGCAAAACAACTATACATATAAAATATAAATAAACAAATTGTTAATGAAAGAAATGAAAGAACCCAATCAATAAATGAGCTAAAAATATAAACAGAGAACTCTCAAAAATTAAAGCACAAATGACCAATAAGTACGAAAAGTCACTAGGTATCAGTGTTTAATTCAAATTAAAACACTGAGATTTCACCCCATCCTAGTGTGAAAAGAAGAAAAAATACTGATAAGAGTGGATTTAGAGAGGGGAACGCTTACATATTGCTGTTGTGAATATAAGTTAATCCAATAACGGAAATCAGCTATCATCCTCAAATAGAAAGTGGGCCTGAGACAACTTAGTGGCCAAATGTGTCTGCCAACCATGTCTTAACATGGGTTTAATATCAGAAGCCAACATGGTGGAAGAGAATAAACTCCCAAAAGTTGTCCTCTTACTCCACACACTTGCCTACCCACATACTCACACAAATAAAGGCAAACACAAGACAAGAAAAAACTTAAAATTAGCCATTGTGGTTTGAATGAGTAGACCCCTATAAGATCATATATTGAAATGTTTGGTCCCTAGTTGGTACAACTGTTTGGGGAAAGACTGACACTGATGGGGAGTGTCACCAAGAGTGGGTTTTGAGGTTTAAAAACCCATGCCAAACCTAGTCAGTCAGTCAGTCACTCTTTCTCTCTTTCTTCTCTCTGTCTTCCTCTCTCCAACTCTGGAATAAGATGTACTCTCTCAGCTACTTATCCAGTTCCAGCACCATGTTTACTTGATTTGTGGATCCTAGATTTATATGGATTTTATATTATCATGTATGTATAATATGACATGAAAGTGGAAGCAAAACTGCCTAGGGGAATAGAGAGGACTAATGGGAGGTGGGAAGGAGAAAAGGGGAATGGAAGAAGAACCTCAGTTTTTATTGTCAACTTGACACAACCTTAAGCCACCTGAAAGAGGGAACCTTGGCCGAAGATTTACCTCAGAATGGCCTGTAGGAAATTGTCTTGACTGATGTGAGAGGGCCCAGCTCACCTGGGATGGAACAACCCCAAGGCAGAATAGATAGGCCTGGGCTGTATAAAAGTTCAGCACAAGCCAGAGCGCAAGTAAGCCAGAAAGCAAAGATTTCTGCCTGAGTTCCTGCCCTGTCCTAAATCATGGACAGTGATCCAGAGGTTAAGTAGAAACAAACTCTCTCTCCTCCCCAAGCTGATCTTGGTGGTGTTCACAGTAACAGGAAAGAAATTAGAACAGAGAGATAGCTAAAGTATGTTAGATACTGTATGAAATTCACTACTATGTAGAATAAATATTGAAAAAGGACTGCCCAGTCAGAACTTGAAAATATTTGCTTCAAATTCCTATTCCTTACTTCCTGTACAAGTTAACACAATTTACTAACTTTTGTTCTGCACTGAAGTTCCAAAGGAATTCAGAAAGCTCTACCAAGATACAAATTTGAATTCTTTTCAAATCTCCCTGAATATTGTATAGATTTATTGCCACACATCTATCCTACCTGCAAAATGAAAGTATCCCCAAAATTGTACACAAAAAAACTGTTAAAATTTCTCCTATAATTCTTCGTTAATGAACAAACAAAACAGAATAACCTAATAAGTCCAGAAAACACGAGAAACGAGTGAGAAATAAAAGCCACATGTGAAAACCCAACAGGAAACGAGTGGCAGCGTTAGAGACATGAGCAGGAGCAGACTCTGCTTTCATGTCGCTTCTGAGTGTCATCAAAGGCAGGCTGTCTATGAACAGTCTACCCCTAAAACATACAGCTGATTAGCAAACTGCTGCTTGTTAGACCTCAGCTGCTTCCTCCTCCTAATACTCAACAGTGTGTCTCATTTTCATCTTTCTACTTCATGTAAATTCAATATCATGCACATAAATAAAATTATGATAATTAGAAAGGGTCCACAGGAACGGGATGGTCTGCACCGGTACAAAGTTTCCAGGAAATAAATGAACTCTGCTTCTTGCTGCTTTAAATGACTTTTTCTCTAGCAGAATTATCCGTAGGAGAAGCACTCTCACTACTCACAACTTAAAAGAATAATTATGATTTCCTTAAAGCGTTGAAAAAACATCAGCTAGGGAAAGTACTTATGAAAACTTTTAAGAAATTTTAAATGCTTTAGGTATTTTCAAGTAATACTTTACAGGCGTCAAAATAAAGGAGTGTGTACCCAATTCAACTTATATATCTGCAACTTTTCAGTAAAAGGAAAGATTCTTTATATGGTCCCACATACTATGACTATGTGCATATTCCAGCCATATAAAGTAACTTTCAAAAAGCATGCAAATAGAATTATTTTCTCTTATTAGATTGGCTCTTCACAAATACCACTAAAAAAATCTTCATAAAAACTATAGGAAATTAGAATTATGCACAATAAAACTTACTTACCTATCATAGCTAAGCTTTTCAGTTGAAATCATATAGTTAAAACTTGGCCCCATTCAGCAATCAGATGTCATTTTATAAAGAGAGGTCAAAATTACCTTTGGGAATGGAATTCTACAATGTGGTAAACAATTCTCTGGCTTCTTAGAATTATTCTTATGGAATAAAGTAAATCATAAATAGTACTGACAACGCAGTGATACAAAAAGTTACTAGTATTACAAAGGGAGCAGTGGGTGGCTGACTCAAGTAGCTACATGCTCACTCCATGTGGTATTCCAGAAATAAAATCTTCAACATATCACAGGTCCCATTTGCAGGTGAGTTCTATACTTTCTCATGATACTAGGAAGAGGAAACAAACAGGACTGCCTAGAAGTATGAGCTGCAAAGCCATATTTGGAAGTAGATCCTCTCAATGACTGTCTCTCTACCCTGAATTAGAATTCATTAGAGTCTCAGCACCTTGCCTTCAGGTTGCCATCTTAACATCTGTCATGTCTGCATGGCATTATGAAATGTCAGCCTCTTACACTTTTCAGAAAACCCATTACTGAGGCATGAAGTGCAAGCAAAAGTTTCTCAGCCCCTTAGTTTTGCAACACAGAAACAATTTACAGAAAGAAAGGTTTATTTTGTTCATGGGGGCTTTGCTCCACTGTGGCACAAAGGTAACATAGAGCAATTCACATCATGGTAATTAGGAGGCAGAGAGGGGCAGAAACAACAGGGGGAAAAAAGGCTATTCCAAGTTATGCCTGTAAGGATACACTCTCAGTGACCACTTCCTCTAAACAAGCCCTATGTTGCAGAGATCTGCAGCAGCTCAACTGTCAGTTTAAATATGGACTTATTCAATGGACTGGCCATACTTTTGTCAGAGCCCTTACTATCTGCCTCAGAGACACACAGAACTGTGTTTACTAATATCATTGGTATTTTTAAAACAGAAGTTGTTACCAGGGACTGGGGTATTGCTGTGACAGGCCTGACCATGTTGTTGTTTGGAGATACTTGGTTTAGGGCCATGTGTCTAGGTAACCATGGACGGGCAATACTTTGGGGGCAGGATGCCACCCAAGACAGGGAATATTAGAGGGCTATTCCCCACCACAGGCAAGGTATTCCACCCAAAGTAACAAGACAGGCACCGTTTATTTTATAAAATAAAACGGAGGGAATTGTGATCTAACTGCCCTCACTTCCCCTGACCGTGGGACTTCCTTGTGGTCTGTAATTGACAAGGATGTTTGTATTCTTTCTGTCCAGTGGTTTTTCACAGAAGCAGGAGAGGTATAAAAGGCTTTTGCTCGGGACAAAATAAAGATTGCTGTACTTCCACTTGAAAAGAAGCCCCCGTGTCTCAATACTGGCACCCACCAGTCTCAGCATCCCGGCCATGCAAGCGCTGTGCCAGAGAGGCCACTGTATGGAGTTGTAAAGGTGAAGCCTGCATTGGACTGGAAACCCCAAAATTTTGGATATGGAGGGATATCTGTGAAGGAGAGCTGCAGACTGGGTGTGGTGGCAGCCGGAGAGAGAAGATGTTGCAGTCAACAAGGTTGAAAGGAGCTGGAGCTCTGAAGAGCATTGGACATGGAGACGCAGAGTCTGGAGTTTGCTTTGCTGGGTTTCAGTTTAACAGTTGCCTTAATCATGTTGTCTCTTCACAGCAACACAACAGTAACTAAGAGAGAAGTTGGTATTAGGAGTGGGATAATTTGGGGTATTGTTTTGTGGCCTGACTAGCCTTGAACTAGCTACATAATCCAAGTTGGCCTTAGCCTCCTGAATGCTAGAGTTACAAATATGAACTACTGGACCCAGCTCCAAATAGACTGACAATCAAGATTAACTATCACAAGCACCATGAACTGTGGAAGCTCCAAATCTACCTGTGTGCTGTAGGGAAAAGCAACAACCACAGCAGCAACTCAGAGAAGTCTTACTATTTGACTTGCATAAACCCGCTACTTCTCCTTCTTTGCTTTGGCTGCTTTAAAGGTCACCAACTCTGAATTCACTGTGTATAATGGACTCGTTTCCCAGCTCCTTGTTTCATTTTATGGTAGCTTTAACATTAAGGCTCATTCAAATATTTTTCTGAAGAAGATGGGCATGCAACTGAAATAAGACAGCAGAATTATAGTATTTGGCTTCCTCATATAGCTAGGCAGTTCATTCTTACTACAAATGAAAAAATTAAGATGAAAACTAAATAAAAATAATTTCTAATAAGAAAACTATGTTGATAAACCCACTAGTATTTTTTTCTTCCTAGACAATGTCTATCAAGTCAAACACAGAAGTTGAAAAAGTGCTTGAATAAAAAAAAGTTGGTAAAAGTGCTTGAATAAATCCCTGTGTTTGTTTCCCAGAACTGTAAAAAACTAACAAAAATCAAACAGGTGGGAATACACATTCAGTTCATAATAGAATTTTAAAAGAACATGATTAATGGTTTAAAAACAATACAAATTAATGCATATTTAAGTGTAATAAAATCAGAATCAGTCAACTAATAGCAATAATATCTGATAATTGGGTTCAAGAACACAATACAGGCAACTTTAATTTGAGCAAGATTTTTCAAGTAAATGGTCTATTGAGAAAACATACACAATGCAATCATAAACACATCAATGAAGAAAAATCACCATGATACCATTATGCCACTATTTTTTCCTATTCTACTGTGGCTTTTTTCCATGCCTAGAACAGAATATATAATCTAGTTTGTGGATGAGCTACCTGAATATGCATGTCAAGTTTTATTGGTCTACTTGCCTGCAGCTATTTCTGCTCTACAGTGATAGCTGACATATACTATATAGTTTGTAAAGTTGGATGAAACATAATAATTATTAACTAGCTATGTCTAGGAAGCATTAAAAAATACTACAATATCGTATTGTGGAGATTTTTTTATTAATGAGGCAAGATGACCAAAAGACTAATTTTCTAAATCAGGCTTAGCAGATATCACCTGAAACATAACCAGATGTTAACAAAAATCCGAGTTGTCCTAAGAGTATAGGATCCCTATACCATAGTGTAGCTAATGGAAGGGTTCCCTTACCCCAACCTCATCTCCATCTTCGACATTAAAGTCTTCAAGTCACTGGACATAAAGAAGGAACAGGATCTCCACTCCTTCCTCACTCTCTCTCTTGTTTTTCAATGATGAGGTGAACAGCTTTGTTCTACAACACACATCTACCATGACAAATTCAAAGCAACAGAACCTACTGGGCATGAACAAAAATCCCAACACTGTGTGACAAATTAAAGGTTTTCTCTTACTATCTCAAGTATTTGTTATAGTAACAGCAAACTGATACATACGGTCTCATTCCAAGATTTAGTTCAGAGTAGGTAGCCTACCTTAATAGAAGCAACATGAAGCAAAGTCTCTCCTCTGTGATTTCTCTTCCCGGCCATAATACTGGGTGACAGCTTCACTGTGGAGGGGCTTGGCATCATTTGTCTGTGAGTTGAATTATTCAGCAGAGGTGGGGGTACACCCGGTGAAAGGCTGAGGGAGTCATCTGATATGTTATTGTGTCTCCTGAGTGTGACATCAACTTGAAATTGGTCTGAAGGTGCCGAAGAAGAGTCAATCAACAGCATATTTTCTGCAAGCACTGCTGGTTTAATGACATCTCCACTGGGACTCAGAACGTTGCTCCCACAATTCTTAGAAACAGGACTGGGAAGCCTGCTGCAGCCTTTGTGATTTTTATAACGCTCTCTTGAACGAAGATCTTTTACACAGACCTTCTTCTCAGGTGTCTCTTCCTTGCTCACAGTGTCTGGAGACACGATACGCTCAGCCAATGGTAAGGAGACTTGAGTCAATCCTCCAGAACATTCCGACTCTGCAGCAGAACCACTGGCTAATAAGTCTATTTCACGATGTACCTGTGGACTTTCCACAATTGATGTTCGGCTACAGGAGACAACCTTGTTCTCCTTCAGTTCTTCTTTGGAATCAAACCTACTATCGTCTGTTTCTGGCCTTAAATTCCCCTCCTGGTTAATCTCAGCTGAAGATTTCTTCTGCTGCTTTTTTGCAGATGTTCTAGAAGCTGCTTTGGCCCTCTTAGAAACAACTTCAGGGGGACTTGTAGAGACAAAGTCATATATGGAGGCTCCTTGGGTTCTGCCACCCTCTGCCTTTCCAGGCTGAGTTGCCATTGACTCTTTACTCACCACGTACCTAACCTTCTTCCTTCGAGGACTGAACCACATTTTAATTGAATTCCTCTTCCTTTCTGCATTACCAAATAAATCTGCCCTAGATGTGTTGTCTTTGGGATCTGATTTTAAAAAAAAGGAAAAGAAACATGCTATGAGGATTAATTTCTCCATCTTGAGCTACCGATGAATTTGACTTTTAGTTTTCCTAAGGACAGTCACCTTTTATTTCTCTACTCCTACACTACCAATTCTCAAGTGCCTAGAATTGCTTCTTTATAAACACATCTACCAGGGAAAAATCACACTAGGTATAGAAGAAATGGAAAATTGTTTTTTTTTGTTTTTTTTTTTTTTACTAAGTGTTTTAACCTGTAGGAATGTCACGTATGTCATGTCACGACGCACGACCCTGCCTAACAGTAACAGCACTCAGACTGTACTATGAAGAGGCCACAACTTATTCCGGGTGTCATGGGAACACAGTTATTACCAGGAAGACAGAAAACAGATAAGGTAGATACAAGCAAAACTATGTAACAGAATGAGGGTAGATTCCCCACAGCTATTGCAATGATTTGCTGAGTCTATGTAGTCTACACAGTGATACTGAGACAGAATCTTAGGAATCAAAACAATGAGAATGAGGTTTCTATTCACAGAGAAACTATACATCTAAATTCAACAAGGTCTTTTCAGTGAGAAGTAGATTTTGAAATCCAGCCACTTCTGATACAATCTTGAGCCTAAAGAAAGGTCAAAATGAAATGTTCCCAGGGATTACTTCTTAAGAAGGCCTCAGGATTACAGACTTAAAGGTTAATCCTCAAGTAGTCTGTGAAAAGTTGTATTTGGTTTTAATTTATTATTTTAAATGCAGATAATGACATTTTCAACTTAAAAGGAGTCAAATCTTGATTTCTCGATGTTTATACTAATAAGAGGTAGAACTGTACAACTAAAGGGAAATCAAGGTATGTGAGCAACACTAACATATTCAATTGACTAAAAACCCCAAATCTAAAAAAAGTAAATTTCAACTTTAGCAGCATGATTCCTAACTTATAAAAGAGCGAAAAGAGAGTACACAACTATGCATTATATGCATGTAATCATTTCACTAACTAAGGTATACTGACATCTTTGCTCAGGGGTTTTAATCACCTCTCTTGGCTCAACTAACCAAGGAAAACTGCAAACAATAACTGTAAATTCTGGATTTTATGCAGCATATCTAGGATAAAACTAAAAAGCAAAACAATTCAGCTGTTAGAACATAAATCATATTATTAACAGCTTCAACTGTTTCATGGGTGAGTGCTTCTGAGCTTGATAAATTATCATATTCATTTCATGAAGAAAAACATTGGTCCTTCCTCTGCATAGCAAATTTCTTAATGATATTTAAAAGAAACTTATTCTCTGAATTTAAATTATTTCAGCATATACTAAAAATTATCAAGAAACAGACATACATGTTACTAAGGAGGTGTTTAGCCAAGTTTCCTTTTTCTTAAAATGTAATAACAAGCATAGAAAAGAGAAGCAATTAGAGAATGTGATTTTACTATCATTAATCTGCATCAAAGGATTATGATGATGTACACTGTGCGCTTTCCAAACTATTCTCTATTATAAGTTACACAACAGAAGTTGAGAAATCTATGACTAGCTAGTTCCTTACTTAAAAAAAATAAACAAAAGGGAGGCACTCTGTTTCCCATCTGTGTAACAGTAACACCTTCACTAAAGAATAATTATTCTGTAAATTAAGATGTATTCCGGTCTATTTAAAATAACAAGAGCAACATGGCTATCCAAATGCTCCTCTCTGTCTATTATAAAGTCACAGCATATATGAAACACTGTGTAATCACTTCAGAAGGACTAGCATCTTTCCCAAACTAGACAAGAGAAATGCAAACTATCATCCATGAAAGCCCAATCAATGTTCTTTATTTTAATGTCACCAGCACCGACTCGTTCCACAAAACTTGACCAGCACCTGCAAGGGCTGATTTAATATGGTGAGTTCATGGGGAAAATAGAAACTTTAAATTTAACTCTATTCGTAGAAAACAGATTGTTACAATAATAAGCTAAAATTATCCATAAATGGCCATCAGGAAAATATGACAACCTCTTCTCTTTAAAGTACACTGAACCGAGAAAAATATGTTGAAATGTTTAGAAGCTCCTCTTTGCACACTTCCTATAAATCAGGCTTCTTCATCTCTAGTGTATCATATGCCATGTCCATGATCTGACAAATTCTTCCTAATTACCCACTTTAATTACAGTAATTGCACAGTTTGTAGTAAATGCAAGTAACAAGGTTCATCTGAAAGATAAATTATGAACTACAGGTTTTAAGACAGAGCAAACGTGAGAACTGTTCAACCATTCTACTTAGTTCAACACTTTAACATGTGATCATGCAACAGTCACAGAATTTTGGAATCAGCTAAGGCTTCAAAAATCACTCAGTCTGATGTCCTTGTCTTAAGGTGAGATCATTTTCTTACAAGAAAAGCAATTCTCACTTGTTCCAAATTCCTGATTCCGTCTACTTATAAAACATTTTACCTTCTACATTTAAATGTAGTTTTAGAAATACTTACTAAACTAGCACAGGACCTCAATACATATACTAAATCAACTATAAAGAAACAAAGGGAGCTACTAGAGAAGGGACTTAAAACTGAATTGCCCCTCAGAGCTGGCTTGTTTAGAGAAGACTTAGGGAAAAGTTGAAAGTGATACAACTTAAAATAGGGAAAAAAAATTGTACTACAAAAACAAAGGTATATTCAATAAACTTCTCTAACATTTCTGTGATTTCCATCAAGGTAGCAAAGGCACACTATCGGTTTTTTCTTCTTCTAAAGGTTACTTTACATGTGTGTGCACGCTCGAGCCTGTGCATGCAGGAATGCCAGAGGAGGCTGTTAGATCTCTCGGAGCTGGAGTCACAGGTATTTACAGCATGTTTAGCTTGCAGTGTGGGTGCTGGAGATCTGAACTCTAGCCCCACACTGTTGATTTCTATTCAACTTAGTTCAACAAATTTAGCAAATACCTACCAAACCAACAAATGTTCAAAATAGGAAAACAGTAAGAACATATTTTAAAAGGGGTCAGGTCCCACCCTGAACATTGTTCAAAACTCAAATTTTCCACTGTTCATAAAAACAAAAACTATACTATGATTCAAACACTCTTCAGCACAATACATCTCTAGGAACCGTATTTCTTTGTGTACCCAAAGGTACCTAACACAGTGAGCCACTGAGAGTGCAATTAGCTTACAAAGACCAGACCAGCCTCCTCCCATTTAATCACCATTAAAAATGTCAAATTATTTACTTATGCATTCAACTGTGAACTTCCTTCTACTCTCTAAGTCCATATGCAGAAACTATAACTAATACGGGGTACCCAAAATGAAATCTTAATTAAAGTCTATATTAGACAGACTCCCCCAAGAGGAAGCTGCTCTGGCGTGGATACCCTAATACAGTATGAGGACATGAGGTAACATGAGCACAAGCTATGGATCTCAGAGAGAAAGGACATTTCTGAAACTAAACTTCAAGCCTCCAGAACTGAGACAGTTTCTTTTACTTAAGCCATCTGGTTTGTCACTCACTGTTACAGCATCTGCTATAACTTAAAACACTATTTATTATACAGTAATTAGAGAAGAGTCAAGTTAAAATATAACTATCTCAAATTAGAACCCTCCATTTCAGGGCTTGACCAATAATCTAAACAATCAGACATACCCATAAGAATCTAATGAAAGCAACACTCAGAGACATATATATTGTTCATACTGTCCAAGTAATGACTCATTGATTCTTCTCCATTCCCAACTCTGACACGGCCAAAGACACATGGACCATTACTGGAAATCATTACACCAATTTAAAGTACATATGAGGGGAAGACAGAGGTCAATTAGATCACACACACAATGGTTTCAACTACCAAATACATACCATCACATACTGTTCTGAGGAAGAAAAGCATTCAGATGGCAATTCTTTTCTCAATGCAATCTTTTTTTAGGATTTAATTGTATCAACATGTATATGTGCATGAATACAGGTGCCCACAGAAGCCAGGAGTCAGATCCTCTGGAGATGGAAGTATAGAAAGCAACAACTGTCTGGCCTGAGAACTAGAACTGAACTCAGGGCCGCTGCAAGAGTCATATGTGCTCTTAACTGCTGAGCCATCGCTCTAGTCCCACTCAATACCGTCCTTTTTATAATCTTGTTTTTCTTTTATATCTTTTGAAATTATAATTATATCATTTCCTTTTCCTCCCTTCAATCCCTCCTAATTATCCTCCCTCCTTGCTTTCAAAATCATGGCCTCTTTTTCTGTTTTTACACACACACACACACACACACAGCTGTTATTCATATAATTACATAAACATACCTGCTGCCCAAACAAGACCAGAACCAATGACACCAATAGACATGCTAGCACAAAAGAGAAAAACCACATGAAGCCTCAAACCTAAACAAAGAACTACAGAATAATAATGAATGCTGAGAGCTAGAGAAATGTCCCCCAAGTGGTTATCCAATACAGAGTAGTCAGCCCTGACATCAATGCATTAAGAGATTTATAACCTCAACGCTTTTTAAAGCAAGTACTTTACAAAATATATGTACAGACATGGATACCATTAACTCATAGTGCTACTATAACACATTTCATCATTAAAAAATAGTCTAATACAATGACCAAATAACTAAATGTAAAGAAGGGTTTACATTTATGACTTACATTCTTAAAAACACAGACCTTTTGTCAACAATACTTAAAATCATTTGACTTGTTTAATTTTGTTTAATCAACTTTACTAGGAGTTAACACACTAACATATCAGAATCCAGAGAACAAAGAACTTAAAAACAGAAAAAGCCAACAATTTCATATTACCATTATCATTCTTTCATGGCATCCTGCCAGACAGGGTCTCCTATAAATACATGCTAAAATGATATGCTTCGGTCATTGAAAATACAACTCCAACATCCAATTATAAAAATTCAAAACTTTAGTTTCTTTTCACAGCCAATTAGTTCTCAGCAGAAGGCACAATGGGAAGACATATAGTTAATACACAGAGTATAAGAACAATTTGAAAAACATTAACCCCCATTTAAATGGAAAAGGAAATGAGTGTTAGATTTTTGTTCTTTCAAAATGTATACATAATTAATTCAGTCTAGAAAAGTGATCCTTGCAAGAATATTGTATTCTATCTTATAACAGGGTACTTAAGTGAATTAAGCACTATTATAAATAAAGTCACAATAGCATATATAATCTACAGAAATTATCCTAACTGCAGAAAGCAGTCAGTGTGAAGTGAGACTCTCTGGACTGACACCAAGAAATGAGTACTATTTCTCTTGCTTCTTGTATTAACTATACATGTGACTGTAGGCAATAGCATTTAACTTCTCTGGACCTTGGCACCTCATCTATAAAGCTGAGACTTAATTATCTCATTTCTCAAAATAACTTTAAAAAAAAACCCTACTAATCTTACGATCTGAGCTACACCATTCAGAACTCTATCCATTCTTCCTTCATGTAGTCATTACCATTACTAATTTGTCCACCATTTAACAAAACAATGACAGCATGTTACTCACCTGAAAGTTTATCGTCATGTAGCAAATTTCGAAGCTTACTATAAAGCTGGATCATGCTGTCCAATTGTCTGTTTATCCTGAGGTCTAGGATCCAGGCTGGGGTGTAACATACTGGACATCCTGATCCAACACAGTCACTTATACAAACACTTAAAAAATTAAAAGAAAAATCAGGAGAATATGAACTCCAAACACTAGAGCATATAAACAGAAAGAAAACAGCAGTTGTTTCCCATAGTATGGTAAAGCAGTGTGCTTGGAGAATATGGTATGCACATATATGTAAAGTCTGATTGCTTTACTATGATGAGACATTATTTAGCATGACAATCTGTCTAATTTTTCCCAGCAAACAAGTCTATGGCTACTAAGGGTAAAGCTATAGAGATGTGAACAAATAGTCTCAATATAAATGACTATTGACCAGAAACGTCTAACCAATATAAATCTTCTCCCCTGTTATGTATGTGTGAATCTCCAATGTGTGCTTAGAGACTATGACTTACATATAACAAGCTCCTCCGACAGACTCACAGTTGAATGCTTGGTCCCCAACCATGTAGCGCTATTTGGGGAGGCAGATGAAACTTTAACAAGATATCTATAGACGTCACTGCAGATTATACCTAGTGCTAAATCCTCAATCCTTCCTGTTTCCTGGCCACCATGACAAACCATCTACCTCCATACGCTCCTACCACCACACTGCTCTTTTTCACGAGGTTTTTCCTCACAAAACCTTTGAAGGATAAACATACCCAGCACTTGGCTTATTATACTAACCCCAAAAAGAAAACTGGTGTTTAAGCAACAAATTCACCAAAGCCGAGCACTAAGCACTGTACCTGAACCCTGAGACCCTAGCTCAAAGAAACCTTTCCTTAGATAACTTACGGCACGGTGACAAAGAGGCTGACCAATAGACACCCGTCAACTGCTGAAGTCAGCTATTCTGCCACAGCAAGGGAAAACCTCATTAACAACCCACAAGAACAGTCTCCCACACAGCCTTCAGAGGGAACAAATTCTACCAACATATATCAGAACTTGACTTTCTGATCTACAACAAGAAATGTTTACTGTTTTAAGTCACCCGACCTTGGAAATTTAAGAACTAGACTTCAATAAATTTTGAAAGACTATTGCCTCAGTCATTGAAAACTGGAATATTCAAGGACATATCAGAATTTTAGAATTACATCAAAGGCATTGCTGCATTTCCAAAACCTTAGCAGAGCTACTTCCTCTGGAACTCTGGACACTCCCCTCTGAGCTTTATTTCTTAGTTATAAATAAAACAGTTCTAAAGATAACATAGAGACATCACAATTACATCAAAGTGCACATCAAGACAGGCATCATAATTCCATTATTGCAGCAGGGAGGTGGTGGCGCACGCCTTTAATCCCAGCACTCCTTAGGAGGCAGAGATAGGCGGATCTCTGTGAGTTCCAGGCCAGCCTTGTCTACAAGAGCTAGTTCCAGGACAGGCTCCAAAACTACAGAGAAACCCTGTCTCGAAAAACCAAAACAACAAAACAAAAATGATTCCACCAGGGCACATCAGGCTCTAACTACTTACCTACAGAAAATGTGCTCACATCCTCCTAAGCACACGGGTTCCTTCAGAATATTAGCGCTGAATGAAGAAAGGAAGATACATCATTGTTACATAAGCATTTCCTGCCCAATAAGTTACACACCTAAGACCTAACACAATCTTTTTTCTCTCTTCATTAAAGCAGAAAATATTAAGGAAACATTTATTGCAAAGGCTTTAATTCTGCTGGCTAAATACCCCATGGACATACTTCTTGTACTCAAATAGCAATTATCACGATGAATTTTAGTACTTTTTGTTTGTTTTTTGTTTTGTTTTGTGTTGTTTTGTTTGAGACACGGTTTCTCTGTAGCTCTGGAGCCTATTCTGCAAACTAGCTCTTGTATACCAGGCTGGCCTCGAAATCACAGAGATCGGCCTGCCTCTGCCCCTGAGTCTTGGAATTAAAGGCATGTGCCACCACCGCCTGATGGAGGAAGGTCATTGGTTAATTATAATAAACCAACTGCTTGGCCTCATAGCTTAGAACATAGATGGGAGGAGGAAACAGAATAGAATTCTGGGCGGAAGAGGAAGTGCGGTCAGACTCTGCTCTGCTCCCGGAGAGACTTGACAGCTCTGCTCTTTGGAGCAGAGACGCCAAGCTCTGCTCTCCCAGGCAACTCCGACCCAAGATGGACGTAGGCTAGAATCTTCCCGGTAAGTGCACCGTAGGGTGCTTACACACTTCATTAGAAATGGGCTAGTCCAGGTGCGAGAATTAGCCTGTAAGGGCTAGAGTTCATGGGCCAAGCAGTCTTTAAATGAACACAGTTTGTGTGTTGTTATTTCGGGCATGAGCTAGCAGGCGGCCGGGGTGCTGGGGACGCAGCCCCGCCGCTCCGCTCCTATTTCAACAACCGCCCACCTAATTTTAGTACTTTTTATAATGTATCTGTTGAGAAGTTAGGAAAAGGGACCAGTGTTTAAGCACCTCCCAACTTCTTCTTTCAACAGCTAAGGTACATCTTCCCTGACTACCTTGAAGTGAAACCTATAAATCTAAAATGGGGCCTGCCATCCAATGAGACGTTTCTCAGAGTGGAGAGGGGTTCTTAACTGGATAGGGATAAAACCTAGAACTGTCCCAGAAAACTAGGACATTGGAACACCTTGACCATAATAATGCAGTGCTTTCCATTTAAAAACAACAAACAAACAAACAAAAACCTAATAGTCTGCTATTAAGGAGTCATCTACTTTTATAGAAATTTTGACCAAATATGATCGTTCTTTCAGTTCACAGCTAGTTGATTGTTTAAACAATTCCAGACACAAATCGAGCTGGCAGTCTTCAGGAGATTCAATACATTGAGAGAAGAGAGGCAGAAGCAAAACCTCCCTAGTGCTGTCCATCAGAATTCCTGCTGCCTCGGAAGTCACAGGAAAGGACAGGCTCTTCCTAATACACAGACGCTAAGCACTGACACTCAGCGGGGTAATAAATACATCAAGAGCACAGCACACAAGTAAAGCACTTAAAGGATGACCACTTCCTGCACTTGGCTTATTATACCAACGCCAAGACCTTTAGGTGTTTACACCATTATTATCCAGTTACCTCTAAACACAAATCACCTTTAAGTAAAACACAGTTCTCTGCATTTCTGGAAACATCAAACATTTCACATTGCACATTTAATAAATATGAACACTAAGGTGAAATGGAGCTTTTGGGAAGGGGCTAAGAAGAAAGTACACAGCCCCAATACTCTCAAGTTACTAAAAATGCTGCTTGCTGACATTATTAAACTATTACTTTCAAAAACTCACAAAACCTCATTTTTCCACCATACTACATAGAACTGACAAAATATGAGTTTGGCAACTCTAACAATACAATGATTATAACCAGTATTTGTGTGGCTCCTATAAGTTTTATTATATGAATTATGAAACCTAACCAACTCTTTCATAATTAAGGGCTAAATTCTACTTGTCCCCCCCCCTACAATATGGAATTCCTACTCCTTGTCTGTGTATCTTGGATCTGTGTATCCTAGCCAAAGCCAACTGCTCTCTATAGTGAATACTGACTATCCTTGTGGTTCACTGGATTCTGTATTCAGCCCAGACCGCAAGGTTTAACTACTCAGAGCCACTTTTACTACTGACTTGTGAATTCAAGTTCATAATACTAGACAGCCCTCAGAGTTCCTTGCCTTTCAGGCTCTGGATATCAGAAGGAAGCCCAGGTGGTGGCACACGCCTTTAATCCCAGTACTCAGGAGGTAGAGGCAAACACATCTCTGTGAGTTCGAGGCCATCCTGGTCTACAGAGGGAGTTCCATGGCAGCCAAAGAAACAAAGAGAAACCCTGATTCAAAATCAAAAGAAAAAAAAAAATAGAAGGGTGGTTGATGAGGTAGTTAACACCTAATTCTCCTACACTCAGAAAGCAGATGTAGGAGTATCCTAGGTTTAAGGACAGTTTACACTACATAATGAGTTCCCTGGCTTCTTGGCCTAAAAAATGAGACTCTATCTAAAATAAGGGAGAGAAATAAAAGAAAAAAACTATGTTTTTAAAAAGCAGTATTTCTTCACCTTTGTACCTTGACAATGATGAGATGATCACTAAGTGAAAAATAAGCAATGACTACATGGTTATTCAAAGCTACCACATAGCTCCTAAGTACCTCACACAGTGTGAACCTGTGACCATCTGGACCCCTGTTCCCTGTCCCATAACCTCACCTGCTCCTTTCCTCTCATGATGGAGGAAGGACATTGGTTAATTATAATAAAGAAACTGCCTTGGCCCATTTTATTGGTTAGAAAATTAGGTAGGTGGAGTAAACAGAAGCGAATGCTGGGAAAAAGAAGCTGAGTCGAGGAGTCGCCATGATTCTCCTGCTCCAGACAGATGCAGGTTAAGATCCTCCCTGGTAAGCCAGCTCGTGGGCTACATAGAATATTAGAAATGGGTTAGAACAATATGTAAGAGCTAGCCAATAAGAGGCTCCAGATAATGGGCCAGGCAGTGTTTGAAAGAATACAGTTTCCGTGTAATTATTTCTGGGCATAAGCTAGCCATGCGGGCGGCCGGGTGCCGGGGACGCAGCCC